TGCATCAAAGAAAAAACTACGATAAAAAATAACAACAAAAAAAGAAAATAATGACGAGGAGAAAAATGACAACGAAAAAACAACTAGTCGCCCATGTTCCATTTGGTCCGAATGGTCACCTTTGCCTTCTCGGCGTCTTCTCTAGCATGCCCAATCAAGTGATCCGTTTGAGTCTACAAAATGTGCATGTCCATGTTGTATTGTTTTTCTTGTTGGAGAGAAGCAAACATTTTTATGTACTTGATATCTCGTTCAACTTGAAACTCCTCGAAGAATTTGATGTTTTCCTCCATTGTTGCGACCAGGGGGACAACGCCTATGTTGATCGTTCAGCCCCATGCGTCATGCCTCCGTCATGCCTGTTGTATCGCCATGGTCACACCATGATGAGGCATGCCAGGCACAGTAACACCAGCGGTCTCTAGCAACTCCCACAAGTCAAATAAGTTTCACATAGTTAAACGAATTCTCTAGTGACTTCGTACCTCGAAGACCCCACCGTATATGCTAATAAGACCACCAAAAGCCTTTGTGGCACTAGTGTGACACAGAAGTCATGGGTGATCATTGGTCCGATGCTTTGGGCAAAAAATCCCATAACACATGGTCTTAGAGTGTATTAATTAAAAAAATAATTAAATAAAACAATGAAATCCACGAAAATTAAATAAGGTGAGATTTGGTTCGATTTTAAAAATAAACACAACACTAAAAAAGTAATTTAAAACAATCCATGATACCGACCACAAATGTGATTCATGTGAACACTCTTTTCCCTTTTCCCATCATCCATCCATTCATTTATTCATTCATTCATTACTCTCGTCTTGTTTTCATTATTCGAACTCTTCTGTCACTTTTCGGTCTCAGGCATCACGGCAGGGGAGGGCGATGATGCCGGAGATCGAACACAGTCGCGGCGGCTGGCAGCCGTCGGACGACAATGCCCTGTTTGACAAGTACGAGGTCGGCAAGCTCCTGGGCTGCGGCGCCTTCGCGAAAGTTTATCACGCGAGGGACATCAGGAGCGGGCAGAGCGTCGCGATTAAGGTGATCAACAAGAAGAAGATCTCCGGCGCCACCATGATCGGAAATATCAAGCGCGAGATCTCCGTCATGCGCCGCCTCCACAACCCCCACATCGTCAAACTCTTCGAGGTCCTCGCCACCAAGACCAAGATCTATTTCGTCATGGAGTTCGTCAAAGGCGGCGAGCTCTTCGCCAAGGTCGCGAAAGGCCGGTTCAGCGAGGATCTCGGCAGGAAGTATTTCCGCCAGCTCATCTCCGCCTTGGGGTACTGCCATTCTCGCGGAATTTTCCACCGCGATCTGAAGCCGGAGAATCTCCTCCTCAACGAGAACGGCGATCTCAAGATCTCCGACTTCGGCCTCAGCGCCGTCTCCGATCAGGTCCGTCAGGACGGGATGTTGCACACGCTCTGCGGAACGCCGGCGTACGTGGCGCCGGAGATTCTGACGAAAAAAGGGTACGACGGAGCCAAGGCGGACGTGTGGTCCTGCGGGGTCGTTCTCTACGTCCTCACCGCCGGCTATTTGCCGTTCAACGACCCGAATCTCATGGTGATGTACAAGAAGATTTACAAGGGGGAATTCCGATGTCCGCGGTGGATGTCGCCGGATCTGAAACGGCTGTTGTCTCGCCTCCTCGACACAAATCCGGCGACGAGGATCACCATCGACGAGATCACCGAGGATCCCTGGTTCCGGAAAGGATCCAAAGGGAAAATGAAATTCTACGACGAATTCCTGGAAGTCAACAAGGAGGAAGATCAGATTCTCCCAGATTCCTCCTCGTGTTTAAACGCGTTCGATATAATCTCCTTCTCATCCGGGCTGAACCTATCCGGCTTATTCCACGGCGGCGCGTCAACCTCGGCCGCAGAGTCAGAGAGGCTGGTGGTGGAGTCGCCGCCGGAGGCCGTGATGGAGCGGATTGATGGATTCGCTGCGGCGGAGAAGATTCGATTGAAGAAAAGACGGGAATGGGGTGTAGATATGGAAGGGCAAAACGGGAAGTTCACCGCTTCGGTCCTTATTCACCGGTTGACGGAAAGTTTGGTTGTCGTTGAAGGTAGAACGACGGCGGGTGACGCTGAAATGTTTAGGGAGGCGTGGAGGGAAAAGATTGGGCCCGCAATCGCTGGCCCAACTGAAAATGAGGTTTCGGATTCCTCGTAGGGTTCCAATGTCTGTCCGGCTATCTATTTGAAAAATTGATGGTTCTTAACTTTTTATTTCTAACGGTCACAAAATTATTTCCGACCATAGGTGATATAGACGAAATTGTCGACCATAGGCACAGAGGAAAACGTATAATAAAAATACACAAACATAGCTAACCACATATGTTATATTGTTATATGTATAGTCGAATGTAATTTTCTTATTAGGATCATGTTAGGGGTTCCAAGTGTAATTCCAACTTTTGATTGGCATTCATTAGAGGTTGAAGTCACACTTAAGAGATCCCTAAGCTTAATTATTCTTCATTTTTAATTTGTGTTGCATGGTGGGGAGAGCTATCATTAGAGGTTGGTCTCAGTTTTGTACTTTTGCTTCTTCTTGTACATGTGTGTGTGATGACATTTAAATGGTATGGTGTGACAAAAAGAAAATGGTATGGTGTGACAGAAAGAAATATATGAGTTTGATTGTTTGTAATCTCTCAGGATTATACTTTATAGGTAGGATTGACAAGCTATTAATGCAAGCAATGTAGTGTCTTTGCCTATTAAATTCCATAACTATTATTCTCCTTAAGCTAATTGATATAGTGTCTCATTGAACAACAATGATTTGTATTGTGTTTTGATCATTACAAAACATAATGTATATAGATTGTTGCTTGAGCAATGACTATATATGCCATTTGGAGGGCTAGAAACAATGTGTTACACAAAGGCTCTCAAACCAACGTGGGGGATTGCATTGCTTATGTTCATTGCCGGGTTAAAAGGTTTATTAATAGTAAGATGAAGATGGGTGATTAACTAGTGTTTGTGACCTTGTGTATCGTTAATCTAGGAGTTTTCTGTTGTGTTCGTTTCTAAACATTTGATATTCCTTGATTATTTGGTTATTCTGTTATTTTTATTCATATGAGTATTTAGTTAAAAAACAATTGGCTCCCTAAAAAAACAATTGGCCAACAACATTAGTAGAAAATCATAGAAAAATGTTAGCTAGAAAACTTACTAATTCCATTAACCAACTGAGAAATTGATTAGGAGAAGAATTAAGTAATAGAACATGTGATAGTGATAGATTAAAAAAACTTGTCGACAAACATTTAGAATCAATATACAAAAGGAATTCACTTTTATGGCTCCCTTTGCCTTTTTTCGTTGAACTATATCGGTCAACGTATGCACGAATCACAAAATTTTGTTTACTTTTAAAAAAGAAAACAAAATAGAAGAGTGTACTCACAATATAAACTACAGTACCATCAAAGAACTATTGTATGGGATAAAACTTTCAAAAACTTTGAATTTAACCATCATCCTTCACTATTCCAAAATGAGACCAAGTAAACAGATTGCACTCCGAATTCAAATTTCATAGTCAACTCAATTTATTCCTCTTTATATATTAAAAGACATTTATAATTACCACCTAGAAAATTTTAAAAAGTTTAATTTATTTATTCTTTTCTTCTTAAACTAAAATTTCATCCGAGTCAATATATAACAGTAAAAAAATCACTTGACCAAATACTTCCTCCATCTCATATCTTTTTGAGAAGAGAGTAAATAATAATTAATATTCTATTAAGGATAGTTAACAATAATTAATATTCAATTTTTTATTTTCTCTATTATTCCTAATACTTCTTAAGTTATTATTTTGACTTATGTGGTCAACATTTTCTAAATTTTGATTATAAATTACGAAAAACTTAATAAATTGTGATTTGAATTTACAATAAAATTGAGCTATAGAAATTAAATACTATTGCTTTATGTCAATTTCATGACATAATATTTTTTTATTATAGAAATTTTTTATTTTTTCGTTAATAATACTTCTATTCGATGTAGAAGGAATTTTATTCTTATTTTAGAATACTATAGAGTAAATATTTAAGATCGGTATGAAAATTTAGGTCATACACTCATACTTCTTAGATAGTGTATAAATTTAAGTTTAAAACTTTTTTAAATATTAATAACGAGTAAATTTCATAAATGTCTCTCCTAATTAAGAGTGATATTTATATTAGTCAACAATTTTAAGATATTACATGAATTCTTTAAAATTTTTGAAAACTATATCACACATAGCTTCGAAGACCAAATGTGTCAAAAAAATTTTGAAATTTGAAAATGATTTATATTATATATTAAAATTTGTGACTTAATTAAAATTTGGATCATCTATTCAATTTAGTCTTAGATTAAAACCTAATTCAAAGTTCTTTTTACTCCGTAATATTTTTTGATTTATTAATACCGTTAGGAGTTTAGGACTTAAGAGGGTAGTGGGCGCCTACGTGCCAATTTCCTACTTCGTATGGGATTGTAAAACAGTGTAGATTTATTGACTTGTTCATCACAAAAGAAAAAATGCTAATGGTCAATCGTCATCATCATCCCCCTCTCGGAACAGGAAAATCCTCTCTCTAAAACAGTAAAACCTCCTCCTCCTCCTTCTGAGAGAGATATAGAGAGAGAGAGAGAGAGGAAAGGCAACAACGACGAAAGATAGAGAAACAGAACGAAGAAGGAGGAATGTGTCCGCTCCGAATCATTCTCATCTTCCTCTCTGCAACACTCGCCGGATTCTTCGTGCTTCGCAACATCAAGTCGCAGCCTGATGCCGCCGAAGACAACGCCGTCGATGACGACTCTCCGGTCAAATCTCCATCCGGATCATCCTCCCCGTGTCCCGCCCCTATTAGCTTCAAGGTATAACCGATTTCGTCTCCTTTCCTTTCAATTCGCCCAACACCTAATATTTATGTGCGATTTTTTTGTTTGTAATCTGAAATTTGTGCTGACTAATCCACGGATGTATGTCAATTTCAGGCTTGCTTTGTGATCAGGGAAGGATTTTGGACTTTTCTGGACATGGCGAGCGGCAAATATCTCTGGAGGCATTTGGTTTCTTCTGCAATTCCAAAGCGCATCGACTGATCCTTGGTAATGAATTGTAAGAGATTTAGCCTTCCAGTATGAATATCTGTTGTAATTTTCTCTTTTACATGGATCCTGCTTTGTTTCTGAGAGTTGATTCGCAGGATTATTGTATGTGTACAAGTTATATGTGTAGAATTGTGGAGTTACTTGGTCTGGAAACTTGAAGATCCTTCTGTTCTAATGGGAGATTATACTTCTTAAATGAATAAACCATTCCTGTATTAGTGCACTTGAATTTTACCTGGCTTTTTACATCAGCACCTATGAATGAAAATAACCTATGCAGAGAAATTGAAAACTGGTGATGCTTAGGATTTTAGGTTTGTTTATTATTGTTTTAGAACTGATAAGATCTGTGCATAAACATCTGTCTTCTTGTCGGTAATTACTCTAGCCTTCACGTTCGTAGAAGTAAAAACATTGCAGATGATCTATATTATGCTGTATTTTCTCTAATATAACCATGTTACTAATACTTGATTGAAGTAGTTTGAACCATGATAATTGACTTATCTGTCTTGCTTTCTCATAGTTGGTAGGTTCGTTTTTAGTATGTTTTGGACATTAAGGTATATCAGGATTGCCTAAACATCTTACATGGAAAGAGTATATCCGGTGGGTATATCAGGAGAATTGAAGATCATTGATGCTTGTTCATGCAAAGATGATCATTACTTGTATTGCACAGAGTTATTCAAATTATAGATATTCAGATTATAGATATTAACAAGTTGTGTAAAGATTTTTAATTTCAACCACCCGTTTTTTTGCCAGACAACTGAAGCGGTACTTGTATCCGTGTCTCTATACATACTCCGTAACATTTAATTACTTACCATAGCTGGAGAAAAAGCAAAACGAAAATACCGGAGTAGCTTTTATTCGCTAAATTTAACACACTTAAGGTTAAATTCATGAAAATGTCATTCAAACAAGGGGATACATATTTTCTACTACTACTTGCTATGAATGTGTTTGCGAGGTGTGCTTTTGTTGCTTCAAATGTGCTTTGATTTGGTTTGGGATCACTGCCAACCTTCCATTGTTAAATTTAAATCACATTATGTTACTCTAAATTTTTTGTCACACTAGTAGAGTGATGTCTTTATTTCCCGGCCCCAAAGGTCGGCCTTAGTGTATGTAACTTTGAGCCATTAGATCTCACACGCATGGATGTGTGTGTGGGCGCATCCGGTGCTCCAAAGGCTGTCATAGAGAGAGTCCAAGTCAATCCATTGATGCTTAAAAATTACCACCATGCTGGGTGAATTATATGTTTGAGTCTCATTTAGTATTCAATTGCAAAGATTGGATTTTTGTGCAACATTATGTTTAAGGTTTTTGATCCGTTATGTATGTAGGATCAGTTGAATCTGGGTTTTCTTATTGGTTTTAAATCTTAATTGCCTGTTATATTACTAATTCATATGTTTGCTAGAGTACTGATTACTCGCTTAAGACTGTCCCTGTTTGCTAACCGGTTGTCGGCTGTTTGTACTAGTTGTTTGTGAAGTTTTTCGATGTCCATACAAAAGTACTGGAAGTATGAAACCTATATGACATTAAACGAATTCGGCACCTAACTTGATAACATATCTTACATTATAATACAAATTTGTCATCTGCTATGCAAACATATCTTAACTGCAAACACATTAAGATGATTTTGTTTTTCCTGTATTGGTTAATGTATTGAGTAACTAACAGGAAAAGAATCTCTAGTGCGAGGAATACTACTTAAGAATATGGTTAATATTTAAATATTCCGTACATTAGTTGTTCTATTCCAGGCAATTTTGTTTCTTAATACAGTACTTGGAAAGTGTTTGTAGTCATTTGTGGAAAAATAAATACGGAGTTTATTGGGACTATAGTTGTAAATGAAACGAATCATTTTGACTTTGATTTGTCTTTGAAGATGTTGATTCGAGTTCGAGTATTTCAAATACAAGTAAAACTGCAAGGGCATTAATGTTTATTAGATATACTATAATGTATGGAGTAGGTTAAAACGTTGAAAAACTATCTTTGATCCATCTTTATGGCTTGTATTGATTTGTCAATTTGATACGGAGTATTTGTTACTCCAACGTGTCCTCACGTGTAGGGTTACTAATTCTACATCACCATTATTACTACGGAGTATATCTTTATACTCTGTATAAAAATAAATTCTGTTAACTAATAAATAAATAAAATAAATAATAAAAATTATATGTGAATAAATAAATAATTAAAGAAAAAATCTATCTCTTTGACCTATCCAACAAATATAGTTTTTAATACTCCATTCGTCCCATAAAACTAATTTGGTTTTGACTTTGAAAGTATTTAAAACGAGTTAATTTTGTTATTGACTTTCCAAAAATATCTTTAGATGTGATGGGTTGATTAATAGTGAAAAATGTGATGTGATAAGTAAGTTAAGAATTAGTAGAGTAAAAAATAAAAATGACTTGTAAAAAGAATTGAGAAAGTTTTTTAGAATGGATGAAACAACAAAAGAGAAAGATTTTGTAAGATGGAGTATTAAATATTAACTTTAAAATTTTCTTTTTATTATCTAAAACTTTATTTACACTTTAATGGACTAAAATAAAATGCATGTCAAAATTTTTATTTTACCACATTTCACATTTTAATGTTTTAAACTAGCAAGATAGTTTCTTTATTTTCAAAATTTCTAATAATCTTATATGGCAACCTCGAGTAATGGTGTAAAATAAAATAATTTCCTAGAGCATTAGCATATATTATTGAATTTGGGAGTATTAATATAAAATTATAGATATATCATGTGAAATTTTCTTTCTTTTTTGTGCTACTTCCATAATTTCAAAAAAAAAAGAATGATTGTTTTAAATTAGCATCTCCAATTAACATTTTGAAGAGTATATCTTACGTTAGCCTATAGCGTTAACGTTTTCAGAATTAATCTACACTATTACCGAGTAAAATTTTATTTAAAACGCTAACGTTAATAAAAAATATTGTTCTGAAACAAGGCATATATCACGAACAACAAAAATTAATTTTATCACGAATTTCTCCCCTGGCTTGAGTAGTAACAAGCCCATTTCTTAGGATTCATGAAGTAGTTCACCCAGATTCAAACTCCAATGGAAGCGAAGCATTGACTCTTTATGCATCATTAGATAGAGAATAACATGAACAGATACTAGATTGCAATAGAGTACATATAACTTTTGATCTTCCAAATAGCATTATACAATAATGTAACTCTTTTACCAGGCAACTAAAACCAGATGATAGAACAAACACCCATTCTATCACTGCAAACCCATCTTTGTACAAAATCCACACATATGTGCACACCATATATAATGTTGGTAGAAATGGACAAATATCAAACACTATTCATTTCAGGTAGTTGCTCCTGCTGAAGCAGCAATTGTGGTTGCGCCGCGACCGGTTCCTCCTCGGGCGGTTCACTTTGCCAGACCCAAACAATGTCTTGAAGACCGGGCTTCAACCCGTCATTCACAACCTTAAGATATTCCAAAGAATCCCCACATGACTTCTTCAGTTCCACCAGATGAACATCAGAGGTGACCTCAAAGATTTCTGCGTCGATGCACAAAATGCCCTTCCTGCCTTCCTTCATAGTTTCAAACCTCAACACTCCCTCGTCCCTTTTGGTCATTTTCAGCTTCAGACATTTGCACAAATCGTCGAGCTTGGAGATGATCACTGATGCCGGTTTCCTGCAAGTGAATCTGACCTCTTTTATGACACAAGGTTCCTCGAACAATCTGGATAAGTCGAAGCCCGCAGAAAGTGAGATGATGTCAAAGGCATTCAATTTGGAGAGCCTGGGCAACATCTCCTTCCCCTTCATGTCTTCTTCTGGTGTCTCTGCTGCCTCCTTTGGGGTTAGTATGCCCTTGTTTGCTGTAGATTTGGAAAAGATCCCACCTTTGAACCATGGGTGGTCTTTAATCTTGGCCATTGAGATTCTGGTTGTGGGATTGGGATCCAACATTCTTGAAAGCAGCTTGCGAACCTCTGGCTGGACCCAGTTCGGGCATTTGAACTCGGCCTTCTCAATCTTCCTATACAACTCCATCAAATTTGGGTCATTGAAAGGAAGATAACCAGACAGCATAACAAATAGGATGACCCCGCACGACCAGATATCTGCTTTCCCCCCATCATACCCTTTCCGGGTGATCACCTCAGGAGCAACATAAGCTGGGGTCCCACAAAGAGTGTGGAGTAGCCCGTCCTGGCGCTTTGACTCAGCGAGTGCACTCAACCCGAAATCAGATATTTTCAAGTTTCCATCTTCGTCCAAGAGTAAATTCTCGGGCTTCAAATCGCGGTGATATACACCTCTACTATGGCAGAAATCAATGGCATTTATCAACTGGTGGAAGTATTTCCATGCGACGGAGCATTTTAGCCTGCCCTTAGCCACCTTGTCAAATAATTCGCCCCCTTTGGCTAATTCAAGAACAAAATAAATCTTGGTTTTTGTTGCCATAACCTCATAAAGGTGCACAACATTAGAGTGTCTCACGAGTCTCATAACGGATATCTCTCGTTTGATCTGATTCATAAGGCCAACCCTAAGGACCCTGTCCTTGTCTATGACTTTAATAGCAACACTCTCTCCGGTTATGAGATTCCTTGCATAATAAACTTTTGCAAATGTGCCTTGGCCAAGAAATCTCCCTAATTCATATCTTTTCATCAGAACATTTCCTCTAGAAGCCATAAAAGTCAAAAAAAAAAAAAAAAGAAACCACAGAAACTGACAAATGTATTGCCTATACAAAACCCGCCGGAGAAGAACGGTTAACCATCCTCGGGCAGATCATAAATTGAAAGAAACGGAAACTGGGAAATTCCCAGTCCACTCTGCATCTTGGGAGGATCAATCAATGAGCTGCTGCCAAGAAGCTCAGATCCAATCTCATCAAAGATGAACTTCAACTCTATAGAGGCTAAGACATTTTGGATCTCAGTGTAAAATCTCCAGATCCTCAAACACATCTTTCAGCATTCCTTTGATCTCTAGCTTCCAAGAAAATCCAGAAAAAAAACCGTAGAAAGCCTATACTTCACCCAGAAAACCAAGCAAGAAACATAACTCTGTACTATTTACAACCAATTCTCTGCAACCCTTTGGGCTTTTCCGGAATCTGGAGATGAAAGCAAGAAGAACAACTTCAGGTATACTCGTGCTTATTTTTCCAAACAAACTTACCAAAAAAGCATTCATTTTTCATTCTTAAGCCCCAAGATTGAAATTCGTCAAAAAAAAAAAGACCATAAGAATCGATTTCGTGTTTGGGATTAAAGTTTCAACGAAAGAATTTAGGGTGTTGATCAGATCCATGACCCAATATATCAAAAACTAAAAAACAGCTAAATTTCAGGCGAAAGGCGCGAGCTTTAATCGAATTATTATGGAACTGATTCGTTTTTTTATGTATGAATCACCAAGAAAAACTATAAACTATGGGATGTACCTGGATGCGGAGCTCCGACGAAGATGATTGAGAGGAGAAGAAGATGGGTTGGAGTTGTGGGGTAGAGGAAGACAACAAGAGCAACGTGATTTGTGGCTGAATTTTTTTTTAAAAAAGGGAGAAGAAAAGAAAAAGGGAAAAAGAGAGAAAGGGTGGGGATGAATCTGTCTTTTTTACTCTCTGAGTTTCATCCGTCTAGTTTTGGACACCTGGGTTGTCAAGAACATGATCTGGAGGAGGATCTAGAAAATCCATGATGATCTTTAGCGGCCGGATTCCTGACAGCGTACCCTTTTTCGGCTAACCCATCACTAGATCCGAATTGGTTTTCTTGATCCAAGAGTTCGGTGAAAATGGACTCGCGCGCCTTCTCTGGTTTTTTTAAAATTAACTCTGCAGAGCAATTGGCGTGGGCTTAACTAACTTGTTTGGCTATGGGCCTATTTTCATAAATAACGTTAGAAATTAGCGTTAATGTTTTAAATAAAATTTTAATGAGTAAAAATTATTTTGAAAATACTAACGCTCTATGTGTTACGGTGGGGTTCAATGGTAAATATGTGTGTTATTAGAGGTGTCAAAGCAAGCTGTAAAGAGTGAATGTGTTAAATTTCAATTGATTAGAATTGAAAAAAGCAAAAAAAAAAAAAAAAGAAAAAAAGAAAAGGTTGAGAATTATCACTACGTGATGGTGAACATGGAACTTGGGACAACACCCCCTCAAATAAAGGTTGTTTCTTTCCAATCCAAACGTGCCCTAAAAGCGTCTCAAGTCTCAAATCACAGCTCCGCCGAAAACTTCACACTTCAGGGGGGCGAGCTATGGCGGTCCCCTTCTCCGCTCGCCATTCCTTCGCTCTACACCGCCCAATTCGTCCCCGCTTCACAAAGCCCTGCAAACATTTGCCATTCTTTCTCTCCCCGTGCGCCCCATCCTCCTCCGTAGCTCCTAACTGTTCCGAACCGGAAGTTTTAGCTCCACCTCCGTCTAACCCTCCCACCAAATGGGAACCCTTCAGAAAAAAGAAAGTCGTTATGCGGGTCGGGTACGTCGGCTCCGATTATCGCGGTAATTGTTTCGATTTTTTTTTGCATTTTCTATTGAATTCTGCACCTCTTTTGACCTACATAGATTATTTTATTTTATTTTATTTTTTTAATGTTTGGTTTTGATGCAGGACTTCAAAAGCAAAGAGATGAGAATGGACTGTCTAGTAAGAAACCTTCTTGTTAGCTACAATTTCACATTGAATGTATATTTTCCCGAATTTGTCCTTGTTCTAGAAGATCATAATTCGATGAACAATATTATTATTCTAATATTTCAATAAATATGATGCTTGAACATGATGGACTAGTTGAGTCACTATTGAGCTAAAGACTCATTGTTTGACAATTTTTTTTAGCTTTGTGTTAATAATGGACTAATTGAAAATGGTCCATTGCACTTCATTTGTTTCCCTCTGTGAATTTTTGGCTAGTAAATGTAGCAACGCATCACGCGTATGATAAAATCAGCTCAAGATAAGTACACTTTTACCCCTCCGGCCCCAACAAAGTTGGGATTGAATTGGGTTTTGTTGTCGTGTGGGATTTTGCTAAAGCATTGCAATTATGTAATGCAGCCATTGAAGGTGAATTGGAAAAGGCTATCTTCAAGGCAGGTGGTATTAAAGATAGTAACTTTGGGGATTTGTACAGAATTGGCTGGGCAAGAAGTAGCCGAACTGATAAAGGAGTATGATGCAGTTTAAACCTTGAATGTTAGCTATTTTTCGTTTTTTTATGAACTACTCTGCAGTCCTTTTCTGAACTTGTTGCTGGTTTCATATACTTGCATCACACATTATAGGTGCATTCATTGGCTACTATTATATCCTTGAAAATGGAAATCCCGGAGAATGCATGGAAAGATGACCCCAATGGTATGGGTCTTGCAGCCTATGTGGATTCTCATCTCCCACAGAACATCAGAGTGTTTAGCATTCTGCCATTACAAAAGTAAGATTCGCCCTCAATTGTCATATTTTAGCTGTTAGTTTTTAAACCAGAGTTCAGTTGAGCGTTTAAAGAAACCATGTTTTTTTGTTTCTCTATGTTCTTCTTAAAGAATTAATACCCTTTGGTTGTGGATCATAATTGCCGTATTGTTGTCCCGTTTTTATAAATTATGGCTTCTATTTTTGGTTTCTTATGTGAATTCTTGAATTATAAATTACTATTTCTTGTAGGTCATTTGATGCTAGAAAGGAGTGTAATGTCCGCCGATATTCTTACCTCCTCCCTGCTGAAATTATTGGGATAAATAATGACTCGACCTCATCTGAAATTGACTGTCACTTATCAGATTTTAACAATATATTAAACGCCTTTGAGGTAAAAAAAAATCCTGAATCATAATGTTCTATCACCCTTCTCCAATTATATTCACTAAATAAAACAAAAAAAATTGTTTCATTATATTCTCGTTTTATTTGTCGGGTTTCAGGGAGAACATCCATTCCACAACTATACAATGAGATCCAGGTACAGGAAACAATCTCCTGCTAGAAACAGAAGTATAAAAGATAAAAGAGGAACGCCATCTGCAGAGGAATCATCCACTTCAGAATCTGAGGAAAGCGACAGAGATGAACCCTTTGCAGCAGAGGACAATCTTAGAACGGTTCAGGAAATGGTCGAAAACACTCCACCAGAAGCCCATGATTCCTCTATAAACAATGCAGATGTACATAATCCTGTCCTGCCGATCCGTGCAAGATGGCTTTACGAAACAGATGAGAGGGATAAGCTCAGTTCTTCCCATTTCAGAAGGATTCTTCGCTGTCATTGCGGAAAACTGGAACACATGCTTCACAAGAACTATGTGGAAATCTCCATCTGTGGAGAATCATTTATGCTGCATCAGGTAAGCCTTCTGAGATTATGTGAACATTTTTTTCCTCTGTGCCTAATTTACAGTAATCCACCGTACTTCCTCAGATACGCAAAATGGTGGGGACAGCAGTGGCAGTGAAGCGCAACTTGCTGCCACGGGACATCCTTAAACTGTCTCTCTGCAAGCACTCGCGCATCGTCCTTCCACTGGCTCCATCAGAAGTCTTGATCTTGAAAGGGAACAGCTTCGCTTCAAGAACGCTTCCGGGCAGAGAAGCAAGAGCTGAAGTGTTGAGGCTGTTGGAATGCGAAGACATTCTGCGGGCGGTGGGTCAGTTTTACCAGTCCACAATGCTGCCTCAGCTGTGTGGATTCTTGGACCCTTTGGAGTCCCCATGGAGGGAATGGGTGGAGAGATTGGACGCGAACGCGGGAATACCGGAGTGCCAATTGCAGGAAGTTAGGGATGCATTGAACCATTGGATGGGAAGCAGAAGTAAGCCCTGACTAGTTTTAAGTGAAATGTGTTGCTTACATTTCAATTTAGTTCACCATTGAATTGAAATGTGTTGCTTACATTTATTTAGAAGTGTCAATGCAGTTATCTTTCTTTTTTCACTTAATTCTTCCAATTAACGATCTTCGAATTGAACCTGTTGGGTTTAACTTAAATCCAGTTTAATCGAAAATTGGTTTAAATTTAAAAAATAAAAATTATATGCATAAATTATTTACAATTTCTATGAAGCAAAAAGTCATATTAATATATTATATTATTCCATCAAATAAATAACAAACACATGCAACAAAAGTAGATAAAGTTTGTTTATGAAGAAATGTAGCGAGCTATCTTGGTAGGACCATAACATATCCCTTATTCTTAAAGAGTTAGTGCTTCTATGGTGTGAAGGTCATAAGTAAAATTTGGATCTTGTCACACTTTATATGGATTTTCAAGTGAATCTTTTTTGTTTTGCAAAAAACTCAATCCTTTTATGATGTTTATACGCAAAGGTAAGTGTGGATTTTGACTTGTTCTATTTTTGTCCTAAAGGTTCACGTGTAACTTGTAGACCTCCTCACATATTTTTTCATTAATTAGCTTATACTCCGCAGTTCGACTTTTTTTCTTTTTACAATACCAGTTACATCTAATCATTTCATTCACTAAGGTCCATAATAAAATTAATACTCACTCCGTCCTAATTTATTTGCAACACTTCGAACGACGTGCAAAATATCATCTCTTTTAAAATCACTTTAATTTCAAATTGGTAGAGTAATAAAAAGTAAAAATTACACCATTTAAAAGTATATGAAAAGCTCTACAAAACAAGATGCGACAAGAATAATTTATTTTATCAAATGGTCAACCAAAACGAGTAAACAAACAAAAGTTATCGAGAGACCAGAATAGTAAACGTGGCATTCTTTCTGGGACGGAGGAAGTATAAATATAAAGACCACCAATGAATTTGCCTAATATTAACAGTAGATCAAAAAATATTAGCATTATTCGTCGCTCTCTTATTTTTCAAATTAATACAGTAACTTTTTCGCATATACTTCCTTAGATTTATGCCACAATATTTTGGGTTATAAGGCTCTGTTCCGTACGTCTGATTTGATTGAATCTGATCTGAATTTTTGAAGTTCTGATCTGACCTGATTTGATTGGGTCTGATCTGATCTGATCTGATCTGATTAAATCTGATCTGATTAGATCTGATCTGATCTGATTGGATCTGATCTGATCTGATTGGGTCTGATCTGATCTGATTGGATCTGATCTGATCTGTTTAGATTTGGTGTAAATGAAATTAAATTTGATTTAAATTAAACTTAAAATAATTACAAAATTTAATAGTTTTAAAGTATTACAATTCATATATACATAAAAAAAAGTAAAATAAAAAAAATCAGCTAATCATTAATAAGTTTAACTTTTTTTTAAATATTAAACATCTTTTCAATATCACAAATTTTTTAATTTTTATGAAAACTAAATAATCGGTATTAAAATAAACAAATATTAGAAAATATTGATGCTATTCTACAAAAATATCACATTGTATGTACATATTACATAATAATATATTTCATGTTACAAATTAAAGATCATATAAAATTTTAAACACTAATATTGCTTTCACCTCTATAAATTTTGTCCTAAATTCACCCTTGTGTATATTATACCATTTTAAAGTTTAAAAGTAAGTCTTTTTAAGTATAAAATATTTATAGTTTTGAAAACAAAGTTTTGTATAATTATTTTATAAACAAGTATTTTAAAATAAATCTTTTTAAAGTATGAAAAATAAAACTTTTAGCTTTAACATTGCTTCCATGCATCATTTCTATCCTACAAGCTAAACAATTATTTAAAATAATGGTTTGTAGTTGAAATATAATAATAATAATAATAATAATAATAATATAAAAACAATAATATTTAAAATTATAACATTAATTAAGATTTAGGTGTGTGTAGTTTTAAATAAAGTAATGTGATTTAATCAAATAATAGTAATTATTATTTAATCCTTGAAAAAAATAAATATTATCTTTTATATTTTTTCTTGATTTGATATTATTGGATTTGATCTGGTCTGATCTGATCTGATTGGGTCTGGTCTGATCTGATTAGATCTGATCTGATCTGATTGGATCTGATCTGATCTGATAGGATCTGGTCTGATCTGATTGGATCTGATCTGATTGAGTCTGATCTGATCTGATCTGATTGGATCTGATCTGATCTGATTAGGTCTGATCTGATCTGATCTGATTTTAATAAGAATAAGTAATAAGTAGAAAAAATAAGTCCTACGGAACGGACCCTAAGTGAATCCCGACCCTATATGTAATTAAATGATTAATTTTATTCAAGATTTTGTCATTTTCTTAGCTCACCAAAATCATAACACTTCTAAATAAATGTAAGCAACACATTTTGTCCACCTGCACATACATTTCATTTTATTGTGTTTTTTACATTAAATATTGACATGTTAGACATTATTGGATGTCTGTCCACATGCATTACTATCTTTGGCATTATTACTTTGACTAATGACACTGTGATATGATTATAGATTAGCTATATTATTTATTAATTAGTATTTTTTATTATTATTTATTAATATTCAGTAGATTAGGGTTTAGTACGGCCCCGAGCCCATTAGGTCAACTAGCATAGCTTTACTCTCTAAATATTGTAATCCTTTCCCGTTATTATGAAATCAAAAAAGAATAATGAAAATTCTCCTCTACTCTCTTGGAGTTCGGAAACGCTCGAAGTTTTCCTTCTCTCTTTGCCTCCCCTTTCTTGGAGCTTGAAGAACGTTCGAAGTTCTTCCCTATCCCGATGCGAATCGTACAAGATTCGTATCACACTGTATAGTGACACGGTGACACTACGTCGGGAAATAGGATGCAATAATTTTTTTGTAGTTCGGTGCTATTCTTATTAATTGAATTTTGGTCCTATTTTGGAATAAATAGTGGAAATTGTATTTTAGTTCTTTCTATTTATTTTAATTCTACTTATCTTTTTCGATATTGTGTTGTGTTTATGTGAACAATAAAACAGAAAATAATTTATGGTTGAGGGGAGTATTATACATACACAATAAATGATTAACGGCTGAACGATAAATTGATACTCTTTGAACATTGAAGTAGTCACCAGTCAAGTAGATATGTTGGTAGATGAAATAGTTAGGTTACATTAACTCGGTAACTCTAATTACTGACGAGTTTATCATGACAGTAATACTCCCTATATAAATAAAATAAAGTTGTAGAGTTATTACATGCTAATGATATACTCCCCTCGGCCGCTAAAAATACTTCCTCCATCCCTACATATTTGCTACATTTGTATTTCCGAGGCAAAATATCAAATTTTTTCAATTCATTTTATTTACATATTAATATAGAAATAAAAAAATAAAATTTATATATCAAAAAACTACATGAAAAGTTCTTCGAAATAAGAGATGTCAAGAATATTTTATTTTATCAAATAACCAATGAAAACATAGAAATAAACAAAAGTTTCCGCGACTGCTGAAAAAGTAAATGTTGCAAATAATTTGGGACGGAGGGAGTATTTCTCGTTTTCACTTATTTTGTCAAACAGTGACACTACTCTTTGAACATAAATTAAACATAATTTAAATAAATAAATAATATAATAATTTGATATATCAAAACTGTATTCTAAATGAACTCAATTATATTAATTTTATATTATGTTTAAATATATGTTTTCTCATAAGGAGTATGGTCTTTAAAAAAACCAGTACTATGGCACAGATACCCTCGAGGTTCCGTACGCTTAAACATTAAACTTAATTAAGCTAGCTAACACCTAAGATGACAACTAATTAATTAAATTCGAAAGAGACTAATTTACAATTTTTTTTACTTAATTTATTTCTTGAATTTCTGGCGGAGAAGCAAAGTAGCGTCTAGTCCTTGCATGTAAAAGGAGCGCCAACCACGTGCCCAATGAGCAAAGGCTACCCCACAGCAGAAACGTGGCGTGGAAGCATTGGGTCCCCATGCAACCGCCGCCGCCGCCGCCGCCGTGAGCATGGCGGCGGCCTTGCCTCTTGTAGACGATGGCCGCCGCGTTGCCGAAGAGGAAGGAGCCGATGGGGATGTTGGTGACGACGACGTTGTGGTTGACCCCGAAGTTGCGGGCCCCGAAGAGCTCGGCGGTGGCGGAGACGGCCAGGGAGGTGATTGCGCCGGTGCACGTCCCTATCACCGCCGTGCTTATGTAGAGGCATATGTGGCTGCCGTGGAGGAGCAGGAAGAAGGCCCCGCACATCGGCGCCATTGCCGCCCCTATGCTCGCCGCTCTCGATATTTTGCTCTCTTCCCGTCCGGCTGGCTGGTTTCCCGACGACCTTGACCTAACATATTGATTTGAAAAATTGTCCTTAAAGGGTCGTTTCGAAGAGAACAAAACATATTGATCACACAATATTATTTCCTAAATTATCACAAAGATTTGAAAAAAAACATTTTAAGAAATCTCATCTAAATAAACAAATTAAAAAATATGAAATTTATATTCAAAACCATCTCTTATGTTTTTGATTTTTAAATATAAGTGTGTTGATGGATACCGTGAAATACTCAATAATTTGTCATTTTATTACTCCCTCCGTCCCTAAATATTTGCAACGTTTACTTTTTCAGCGTTGAGGGAACTTTTGTTTATTTCTACGTTTTCATTGGTTATTTGATAAAATAAAATATTTTTGACACCTCTTATTTTGAAGAACTTTTCATGTAGTTTTTTGATATGTAAATTTTATTTTTTATTTTTATACCAATATGCAAATAAAATGAATTGAAAATACTTGATATTTTGTCTCGGGAATATAAGTGTGGCAAATATTTAGGGACGGAGGGAGTACTCCGTATAATTTTCGGCATTATGTGTTGGTTGATATTTTAAGGCATACTTTGAAATAAAATAATGAAAATAATCATTGAAAATACGCAAGTAATCAATGAAAACACACAAATAAATGCTCCATCCGTTTGGAAAAACCCTTCCCATTTGATTTGGGGGCAAAAATAAGGAAGTGTTAAATTATACTCCCTCCGTTTGGAAAAACCCTTCCCATTTGATTTGGGGGCAAAAATAAGGAAGTATTAAATTATAGTTGATTTCCAATTTTGCTCCTAATGTGATGGGTAAAAGTAAGATGTGATGGATAGATTATTAGAGAAAAAATATGATGTGATAGGTAGGGTATGAAAAAGTAAGGGTAAAAGTGGTTTTTTAATAGAAAGGGGAAGTGCTTTGTTGGAAGTGGAAAAAAGGAAAGAGGAAGTGTTTTTGAGAACGGATGGAGTAGTTGATTTCCAATTTTGCCCCTGATGTGATGGGTAAAAGTAAGATGTGATGGATAGATTATTAGAAAAAATGTACGATGTGATAGATAGGGTATGAAAAAGTAAGGGTAAAAGTGGTTTTTTAATAGAAAGGGGAAGTGTTTTGTTGGAAGTGGAAAAAATGAAAGAGGAAATGTTTTTTAGAACGGATGGAGTAAAAGTTATTGAGAGTCGAGAGAAAATAAAATTGTAATCAAATTGGGGACAGAAAGATAATATTAATCTACATTACTTTAAAATATAATGAATCCAAAAATTTATAATAGACATTATTTTAGAAATAATGGAGGGAGTAGCATCACGAATAGAGAAATTTACCTAAATAAGATTAAAGCATAATGACTTTCTAATTATATGATCATATATTTTTATTTTCCAATGTATGACCATTAGTCAATATTCTTTAGTTTTTATTGAAGTAAATGTTCACTATTACTGGATATTATTTCTCCGACTAGACATTATTATTTCATATTTAAGGAATAAAAAAGTTAAATCCTACATTAAGAAATGACTTATATTTTAGCCTTATTTAGTACAAATTTTTCTCGAGAATACACTCTATCAAACAATGAATAGGACACATAATTCAATTGTCTAAGGAGAGCAAGTATAGAGAAAAAGGACCACGTTTCCAAATCTAAATATTTTCGTACCAATTGAAAAAAAACCTAAATATTTTACTCATTAATTAACGTACATAAGAAGGCCGGCCACCATCTATATTGCTGGTACTGGTAGAGTAGCTAGCCGTATACTCCCCCATTTTTAAAATCATTCTTATTTTGACTTTAAATCAAAATAAAAAATGTTTTTTTATTTTTCAATTTTATCCTTAATGTGGTGAGTACATTATTAGTGAAAAAATATGATGTATTACGTAAGATAAAAAAGTAACAATAAAAATAATTTTTTAATCGAAAATGAAAACGTTTTGGAGCGAAAAAAATGAAAGATAAAATATTTAAAAACAAGGGAGAAAATATATCATTGTTTCACGTATTGTGTGCGTGATGGTTACTGCATGTGGAACTTATATTAATGAGTAAAGTGCATTGTTTATCCCCGTACTTTTTAGAAATTGCATACTTTACTCCTGAACTATAAAAAGTGCACTGTTTACCCTTGAACTCTTCAAAAATTGCACGATTACCCATGAATACTAAAAAATGCACCAAATACCCTTGAACAAATTAAACTGTTGCATCGTTGGTCCTAAACTATTAGATAGGGAGTGCGTTGCTTCCACGCACAAGAATTGCGAATATGATTCATCTGACCCTTGTGAATTCTCCAAAGTAATTGCCTCTTTATTTAAATGTTCAGGAGTAAACAGTACAATTTTTGAAGAGTTTAGGGATATTTGGTGCAATTTTTATTGTTCAGGGATAAACCGTGCAATTTCTGAAGAATTCAGAGGTATTTGGTGCACTTTTTAATGTTCGGGGGTAAACCGTGCAATTTTCAAAGAATTCGAGGGTAAACGGTGCACTTTTCTCTTATATTTATGGATGTAGTAAAAAGGAGCAGTAAAAAAACAAGTGCCCTGTGCCTATCGTCATTCTCACTTCACAGGGACGGATCGGAAAAATTAAAGAAGATTGGTGGTGGATATATGAAGTAAATGAATGGTAAATGTGATGGTGATAACGTAAGATGTTCGTTCCCATATTCTATTAATTCGCCTTCCTCCATATATGTCTTTTTTTTGTTTTGCGAAACTTAAATGTACTCCCTCCGTCCGTCCCACCGTCTTTGTTCACTTAACTTTTGTCACACCATCCAATACACTTTTTTAATCCATTTTATCTTGTAATTTGTATATTAAAAAATTATAGAAATTATATATTAATAATCTATATGTTAAGACGAATCAAATAAAATTACATATGACTATTTTTAGGTTTACACATTGAGAGAATTTGATAACTCAAAGTGCTTAGATGAACAGTTCCAAAAGTCAAATGTGGACAAAGACAGTGGGACGGAGGTAGTAACTTTTAATATTTTGGGCGGGAAATTTACGCAAATAGGATTAAAACATAATTATTTTTTCAAAATAAAACCATATATTTTTAATTCTCATTGTAGTACCATTGATAATTATTCATTAGTCATTATTCAAGTAGATGTCCACTATTACTGGACATTATTCCTCCCACTAGACATTATTAAATTTTATTTAGACAATAAAAAAGTTTAAGTTCTACTATGAGAAATGATTTATGTTTTAGTTCTATTTAATGCAAATTTTTCTATTTGGAAAATGATACTACCTCCGTCGCTCTGCTAGTTGTGACTTTTTTCCAGTAAATTATTTTTAATTTTTGACTTATAATTACATAAAATAAATATTGTATATTAATAAATAAAATAATACTTTGAATGTATTTGATATAATAAATCTAATAAAATTATTTTTGTATCAATATCTAATACTCTGTATCATATTTATTTAATTTGAGGTCAAAGTTTATAAATTTTGACAAAAAAACCAACAAATACTCAGGACAGAGAAAGTATAATGGAGTAATTTAAACAAACACAAAAATTAAGCTTTTATTATAATTAAAGTGCTTGATTTTATTTTAAAAAGAATATTTTTTATGGGAAAAATATTAAAGACTCCCGGAGGTTTCATGAATTTAATTTGATTCTTGTACTACATAGATCAGTCAGTCATTCAAGTCAATCAGTCAAGAAGAATTAGGGGTGAATAAGAAAGACTACTTTTTCTTTACACACCTGGAGAAGATGATCGAGTCACAGAGAGACGGAAGAAGGCGGCCGAAGAAACTGAACGACGACGACAGCGACACCAGCGACGCCGTGGCGGCGCAGCCGCGGGACTCCGCAATCTGCCCCAAATTGTTCATGTACACCAGCCCCAATGTCGCCCCAAATAGATATACCATGTAATATATCCAGAAATCAGCCTTCTTCACCATCCCCATTGCTCCCATTTCTTCCCTCTCACCAATCCCCTCTTCCTCCTTCGCCGCCGCCCCTCCCTCCTCCCCCGCCGCAGGTAAATTGTTCTTCTTACAAACTCCCACGTCCCGCCTTAACAGACACTTCCCCTGCCACGCCTCCTTGATCTGCTCTGTCACCGGGACGAGCAGGGGAATCGCCATCCAAACCGCCATGCCGGCCAAGTTCAAGCTTCTTGAAATCGAAGAGGAAGAAGAACCCACACTTGTGATCACGGCATAAATTCCGGTGGCAATTGTAATCACGAACATCAGGCCGAACCCGCCGGCGAGGCTTCTTGATTTCCCGATCTCGGCGTCTCTGGTGAAGGGGGAGGCCACGACGGAGACAACCAACGGCAGAACAGAGTTGAGCAGAAGATAAGCTCCGGCTCTGTCGTCCGGAGACGCCGACCCGCCGATCGCCGCCTCAACGACGTCGGTGAAAATCTTGGCGCTCAGGCCGACGTAGCTGGTGGATATCCCGACGGCGACCTGGCTGTCGAGCGGAAAGTTTCGTATGGCGACGATGTAGCAGACGGTGTTGATCCAGCAAATGCTGTTTCCGGCGACGGCGGTGAGGAGGAAGACTTGCTGGAAAGACAGGGAACTGATTCGGTTGATTAAAAAGAGGTACTGGACGCCATAGCCGACGAAGCCGAGGGAGGAGCCGATGAGGAGGACGAGCCAGAGGGGGAGGTAGGCGGCGGCTATGCCGGAAAACCAGCCGAAGAGTTTTCCGGCGTCGTTGGCGAAGGCGAGGTCGTTGAGCTGGACCTGGGACAAGGAGAGGAGCTGTTTGAGGCGGGAGGAGTACGCCGGGAAGTTCAAGTTGGTGCCGTTCACCGACTGCAGCCATATCGCCGCCACTAAGCTGAGCCATTGGAGAGCCACCATTTGCAGAGCATGAGGGGTAGATTGGGGATTTTAATTTAATTGAGAGTAGACAGATTGCAATGTAATTGCGGTGATAAACATGGAAATGTGTTTTCTTAGGAGCCACCGCTCAAACAATATATTGTTGCATGCCCTTTATAGAGTCACACATTAGCCTCATTTTTTAATTTCTCTATTGTCCACTTCAATATTACTCCCTCCGTCCCAGAGTATTCGTCCAGTTTTGACTTTTGGAACTGTTCATCTAAGCACTTTGACTCATCAAATTTTCTCAATGTGTAAGCCTAAATATAGTCATGTGTGATCTTGTTTGATTTGTCTTAACATATAGATTATTAATATATAATTTCTATAATTTTTTAATATACAAATTACAAGATAAAATGGATTAAAGAAGTGTATTGGATGGTGTGTAAAAATGAAAATGGACAAATACTCTGGGACGGAGGTAGTACTCCCTAAATTTTTATTTATCTTAATGGGTTAATATTATGTTAACTTTTTCTCTTTTTTTTTCTCTACTTAATACTCATAATTGATTTTTTCAATAATTACGGAACTTTTCTCCTAGCTTGAGTGGTAAGAAACTCACTCCTCATAATTCATGGATAAGTTCACCCAAGCTCAAGCTCTAGCGGAGGTGAAAGCATTAGCTCTTTGTGCGTCATCAGATTGAAAATACTATAAATAGATTTTATCTTGTAATAAAGCCAATAACATTCAAAAAAATAATTACAAAAAAATATCAAGTAAACGGGCAACGACAAATTTCAAATAAAATTTGTAATTTGGTTCATTTTCTTTTAAAGGAAAAAAAATGTGATTCACAAATCTAATTCTAGGACAATTTATTGGACTAGAACCGAATCTAAGTGGACCGGACCAATAACAAATACTATAGCTAGCCAGTTAGGTGTTCGATTTTAGACCGGACGAGATCGAAGTCAGTTGGACCGGATAAATATGAACCTGCAAGACCAAAAATGCGCAGAAGGTTAAGAATGTCTTTTACCCAAAGTCCAAATTCAACCCCTCCCTTCCCAACTCAAAATCCACCCTTCTGTCCGCAAAGTGTTAAAAAAAGTGAAATTTGCACTAAATAGGACTAAAACATAATAACTTCCTCAATGTAGGACTTGAATTTTTTTATTCCCTAAATAGGACTTAATAATGACCTAGTGGGAGGAATAATGTCCAGTAATGATGGACATTTACTTGAATAATGACTACTTTATAATGACCAAAGGTCTTACATTGGGAAATAAAAACATATGATCATATATTGGAAAAGTCATTATGTTTTAATCATATTTAGGTAAATTTCTCTTAAAAAATGTACTATTATTCGGTACTAGAAAACATTAACATAGTTAAATGGGGCGAGAGTTATCAATTTGTTTAAGTAATAAATTATTTACAATTCAATTTATTTGATTATTATTATAAAATTTAAAAAGTTAAATTTATGTTGAATTTTTTTATAAAAAATTTTACAAAATAATAGGTACGTGACAATAATTTATTATGAAATGATTAGTGAAAAAGCAAAAAAACTCAACGCAATTGAGTGGTGTAAAGAGTGAATTCGAAATACATTTAAGAAGAGAATAAGAGTGTGTTTGGCAGACAAACAAGATTTAGGTTTTGGTATCTTCAGATATCAAAATTCTTTTTTGATGTTTGAGGAAACCAAATGAGATATCAAATTCGATATCTCCAGATATCATATATCCTCAAAATGAAGGATTTCAATATCTTCTGAATTTGGAAGATATCAATATGAAGATTGGATATCTCTCTCAACCTTTGATCATTCTTCGCCGTCGGCCACAATTGTCATCGCCAACGTCAATCCTCATTGCTGGACACTCCCGCTTATCACTAATTAAATTATGACTTTAAATGTCTCCAAACAAATTTGTTTCAGATTTTAATACTCGGAGTAACTTATATATTTTCTATCCCGTTTCATAACTCATATCTTATCATATCTTCAAAACTCATCAAACAGAATCTTAATATTTTATTTGGAACGTTTATAACAGAGAAACCTTGCCGTTATAATTATAGGGAGTATATATGGAGATGTGAGTATTTATTTAAGAATGAAGTGAGAATTTTGGCTGAATGTAAGTGTGCCGTTACAGTTATATTTGGAATCAAAGAGGGACAAATGCCTAATCTCTCTTTTAGTCATTAACAGCGTACGAGGAAGGACGAAATTCCACTTTTTGCGTCCATGCTTGTTTGTTTTGGACTTTGGTCATCCTTCTTTCCTCCATAAAAACATTTTGAAAAAATGCTAGGGGTACACCAAATGTGTACCCCATTTGTCCCACACACCCTCCTTGTCCATAAAAAAAGGCAAGAAATTCAAAAAAATGAATAAATAAAAATAAAATAAAAGTGGTTATTGGAGAAGGGGGTGGTGTGCATTTGGGGTATACTTTTGGTGTACCCCTAGCATTGCTCAAACATTTTCTCTGTCCCCATGGTAGCTCAACTGATTTAAAGAAGGAATGTCAAGCTTCTTGATGTGAGCGGTGGGAGCACGTATTTAGGCTATCTTTTTCCTTAATGCTATGGTTTGGTGAGGGGCGGATCTAGCGAGGTGTTACAAGCCGCGGAGCGGTACCCTCATCAATTTTTTTGATATAGTATATTCTTTTAGACATCTACATCGACAATGTCCAAAATCAATCAAAACTTCCACAATAATTTCAAATGTCTAAAAATAAATGTCATATCACATTTTTTAAATGAAAGGGAATTAGTTACAACTTTCTTTTTGCCATACAATACTCCCTTACACACGTATTTTGCTGGTGGACGTTGCACAGTTGACAAGGCAAGGAGTAACAAGAAGGTAAGACTCGAGTTCGATTCCTGACAATTGCCATGAATGGCAGCTATGTTAAACATAAGACCTCTGCAAGTACTAAGTGCAGACTTCATCTTTGCCATCAATCTGCGATTAAAGTCTAATTTACCTATACATTCTCTCACAAACTATTCGGCTGGGTTTGAGAGGGCCCTCGAAGATGTGGCTCATCCTTTTTTAAAATAAACCATAAACTTTAAAAGTTTTTGCTCAACTCTAAAAATAGATGGAGTTGTTTTATATTACTCCCTCCGTTCCACAAAACCCTTCCGGTTTTGACTTTGGGGAAAAATAAGGAAAGTATAATTTTGGTTGACTTTCTAATTTTGCCCCTAATGTGATGGAAAAAAGTAAGATGTGATAATTTGGTTATTAGTGAAAAAGTATGATGTGATAGGTAGGATGTGAAAAAATAGAGGTAAAAGTAGTTTTTTAATAGAAAGTGGAAGTGTTTTATGGAAAACAAAAAAAATAAAAGAGGAAGCTAAGAGTTTTGTGGAACGGAGGGTGTATATAATTAATGAAATCTTTTAAATTTATCACAACAATGTCAAGACGATCATATCAATCATTGGTGTGTCAAATTTATCCCACCGAACATGCCACACAAAATCACTCGTTTCATGTTGTGGTTTGGTATAGTAACATACGGAATATAATACTGCGTGGACTTTACTGTGAGAGCTGAGGAATTTATAATTCTTATTCTGAGGATTATTATTGTTTATTTCTTTTGTCATTTTCTGGTACTTCCTAATTTCTTGCCTGCAAGTGTGCCATGCATTTAAACAAAAACTAGTACTCCGTATTATTAATTAATGACACTTTCGTGTTTAAGTATTTGTCAACGAAATATTTGCACAAAATGAGATGATTGTAGACTTTGCCTGCACAACTCTGCTAGTCATAGGATATGTTTGGGTGAGATTATTAAGATTAATTACATTATTGGTGTTTTATTTAATGCTAACAACAAGACGGGAAAGAAAACATATATGGACCGGAGAACAATACAATATGATATGAACGCAATTTTAAAAACATTTGTTTCTCTTTCACATAAGAGCCTCTTTGGTAACAACGTTAGAGGGTAACAGTACATATTACTTTGAAAGGCTAACGTTTAATGCTGCCCGTAGATAGTCTTTTCAAAACGCTAACGCTAATCTCTAACGATATTCCTAAACAGACCCATAGACCAGAGTCATCAAACCTTCCACGTGAAAGTTGATTTTTGAAATTCGGAAAGAGTGAGTTTGAACAAACTTGTGACTTGTGATTCATAATCACCAAGACTCTCATATCATGTTAATTAAAAATCTAACTCAACAAAAGTTCAAACTTGTGGTTGCATTGCATGTTCATGATATAATTATACTCTAATACACGACAAATAAAACACATCGGGAAAATTGTTTGCTTCGAAGAATTCAAAATGAAGAAAAAATGCTATAGAAAACAAAAAGAACAAAATTGATATTTTTACAATGTAGTCTCTATTTAATTCATTAGTTGCCAATTTGCATTGGAATGAAACTTGTTTTTCCTATTTTTCAGTGTTATTGATTCTATTGAAATATAGAATTTGTTCGTATTTTCTCAATCTAATGACATACAGTAACAAATGACTCTACCTTCCATCTATTAGGAAGTTCAATTCCCGCGACTCAAGCCAAAGGAAAAAGTTCTTTTCCTCTTCTTTTGTTCACGTTAACCTCACTTTTTTCTTTTTTGAAACTCAAACTTTCCATTAATTAAAGATAATGCAGTACATCATGCGGGGGATCATTCCACCATTCATGGCACCCGTTAATTGCCAATCTAGCAAGGGTGTGTGCAATCAAATTTGACAGTCTAGGGATATAACAAAAATTAACAAAACGAAAACAATATGTAAGATTCTTGCATTCGTCCTCCAACGCACTTAGATACGACCGAGCACCTGACACACCATTCTTCAAGGCCTGAACCGCTTGAGCACAATCTGAAAAAATCAAGACTTCTTGGATATTCTTCTCCTTGAGCCATGAGAGCGCCTCCTTAATAGCCATCGTTTCCACGTATCTCGGCACCAAGGGACATGAAACCAAT